TACCTCCAGCCTGGATGACTGTCTAGGAGAACTCTGAGGATTTGACATAGGGTTATACTTGAGGCCATTACTGACTGCAACATAAGATACAAAGCAATCCTGGCAAAGTAGAAAGGCACATGGGAGAAGTGTGGAGGGAGCCAGGCACAAGCCTTCAGGGGCTCACTCCCCAATTCCTCCAGCAAGAGTTTTGAGAACACATGTGAAATGTTATCTACCACAGAAACTCATCAGACACTCAGTGCCTATTTATTAGAACAGGTCACCTACCCATTTTCCACCTGGCACTTATCAAAATTCCACACTTCTAGAGGGAAAGTAGATGTTGCACATAAGTCACAATGTTTAAATAATCATTTAGGCACAGCGAGCCACAAGATCTATCATGAAATCCAACTTCCCCCAAGATGGCTCCATAAGCAAGACTTCAAAGGGCAACCATCTTGGTCACTTTTTATACAGATTGCAAATGCCACTGTGTAACCATCAGGCAGAGTAAGCAGAAGTATATCACTTATTAAGAGTCTACTGAAAGGCTGAGGATATAGCTCAGTTGATAGAGTGCTTTTCTCCCATATACAAGGCCCTGGGTTCAATCCCTAGCACCACCAAAAAGAAAAAAAAAATAGTCTACTGAAAATCCTTTAAAATTTAGTCATCACTTGTGCTAGGTAGATTGTTTACCTTCTTTGACCCATACCTGAGGTCTGGTGCTCAATTGAGTAAACACCATTATGTCATTCCAGGAAATGGTGTCTTGAGTTGTTTAAGTAAATAAATACATGAATAAAGTCAGCAAGCGTATTGACTTTTTTGTCTCTCATGCCTTTTCTAAATATGTTTTAACTTACTGGAAACTATGGAATTATGTTCTTATTATTGAAAAAATATAGCAACCTTTGCTCAACTCAGTTTAGTTTCTGGCACTCACACAGAGATCTTAACCTCCTCAAGTCTGGTGAGGCCCATGAACCTCTTCTCAGACCAGTTATTTTAAAAGCACAAAATAAAATACACAGAATTGCAAAGGAAGCACATTATTTTGAACTTCAGTTATCAAAATATTTTGAATTAATTTATAATATACATGTGTTTTATTAACACAGTAATATATCTAGCAGCAGCAGGTCTAATAACGAACACGATTTATAAATAATGATGAGTATAAACATTTCAAGGTGTCTTTAATACATACAAGATAATATTAAAATATGAATTATTTTAGCACTTCTAAATAACACTATAATTTGTTACCACTTCCATAACTTAGGGAAAAGCTAAATTTCAGTAATAAACTAGATTAAATAAAGATATAATATTTTTTCTCATCAAATTTATAGTCTCCAGGTTAAAAAAAAAAAAAATCTCAGGTTTAGGTCAACAACTTGTTGGACCAATCGCCAGTAGACTTGTTACTTGACTTCCTTCAATTTTTTTGAGCATAGAATTTTTTTAAAAAAATTAGTCAAATTATCACACTAATATGATTTCACATAAAAATTCATACTTCTAGCTTCTCTGGGGGAAAAAAAACCTGAAGACCAAGAAATGCTCTGCTGGTATTTCCAGTAGTGTAAGAGCAAGCAGCAGCTGCCCCTTCTACAGTGTGAACTCACAGTCTCCACAGCAATGATAAGCCTCGCCTCCCTCCTACTGGCTGTCTGCCTGGCTCCTCTCGTTATGGTATTGTCTGTTCATGATTGTCATCTGGCTGGTTGTAAGTAACAGAGATTCGCTTTGTAATGAAGAAAGAATTCTCCTTGTATACCCATTGTCATCCCGATTTAATTTCCAGTTTCCAACTTTTCGGCAGTTTATGCACTTAAGACCCAAAGGTAGTTACCTGTTTTGTCAACTATGTTTTACTAGAATACAACCATCTTCATTCACTAACATATTCTTTATGACTGTTGCTATGGGCCAAATTTTGTCCTCCTTCCCAAATTCATATGCTGAAGCTGTAACCCCCAACGTGATGGGATATGGAGGTAAATAAGTTCTGATGAGGTCATGAGAGTAAAACACTTAAGACAGGATGGGTGCTTTTTAAAGAGACACCAGAGAGTTTTCTTCCTCCTGTCTCATATGAGGACTCAGTGAGAAGGTAGTCATTGGCAAAGCAGAGACAGAGCCCTTACCAGGAGCCAAACTGGATGGTAACTTGATGCTGGACTTGCCAGCCTCCAGAACTGAGGAAAATAAATTTCTGTTTTTTAAACCAACCAGTGTATGGCATTTTGTCCTGGGTGACTAAGACAGCTGTGTTCACAGAGCAATGGCAAAGCTGAGGGATTGAGACTGGCCCACAGATTCTAAAATATTTACAAGGGTTCTTGACACAAAAAGTTTGCCAAAATCTGCTCTAGTTTATTTTGGATGTAATTACCACTTAGATCTCTAGAACTTTGATGTAGAGGAGTTTAAGGATAGTTAAGGGGAGCTCCATGTTCATAGCAAGCATCTCATTTTTCCTTAATGGAGATGGAGTGCAGGCATCTAAAGAACTGTCCCTTCTCTCCCAACAGCCACTGAAAACTGCACACTATATAAACCTCTCCACTGAGCCACTGTAAAGACTTATGTAGCTAGAGCTGGAATCCACTGTGGCTGAAAACATGGTTCACAATTTGCTCCCCCATTTACATGGCTTTAATCAGTGGTGATGATAGTTAGGGTCAACAGCATACCAAGGACATGATTTTGATTATACAATTCAAAACAAATATTCAGTACTATAATACTTTTTGCAATAAAAACAAGATATTTTTATTAATAGATCAATGGGAATAAAGTGAATGAGAAACAGTCAGAGAATCAGTCAGAGATAGATTCAAATCCAAACACCATCCCATACTTATTTGGCAACTATCTGTCCCAGTCTCAGAACTTCRACCTCTTCATAGATGAAACGGAGGCCACATTGCCTTGTTTGTGGGTTGCTGATATTTAATAAGATTATTGTATGCAAAATATGTTGAAGTTTAGGGGGCATATAAAATAAGCTCTCAAAATGATAGTTTATATTAGTGGTCCTTGGAAGATATTTTTTCACAGTTTCTCCTATTTTTATTTTGCTGAGAATAAAGTGACATTGATAATACGCCCTGTGCCCACAATTTGCCCACTTATTGAAATAATCCATCAAGAGCAGAAGTCCTGGAATTATTAAAAAAGTGACACAGTTATACTAGGGAACAGGTTATTAAGGCACCATTTRATGTCACTTAGCACCTCTGTACCCAAGGAGACAGGCAGCTCAGTCCCAATTCCTATTAAAAAATAGCACAAATTTTCTGTCTCTCCTTGGTTTCTCTCAGAGGCAGCCACACTGGCATGTGCACTCTGCCCTCATGACCAATGAAGAAAGAGAGTTTGTGTGTTTATAAGAGAAACAGAGGAGGTAGAGGCTTATGATTGACTCATTCATTTTTTATTTTCTGTGGGTAATTTGTTTTAATTGTCCTTTTTTGCAACCTACCATTGCAAATATATTGGTTGGTCTGTAATATTAATCCTTCTGGCCCTAAGGTTCCTCTTGTACTTTGAGAGAAGTAAAACTGCCTGTTTTATTTTATGGGACTATTATAAACATCAAAGGAGATACAAGGTAAACAACATGTTTTCAGGAGGGCAATGACAAATGAGATTGGTCTTGAAGATGGAATGACAAAAAAATAGTRGTTTTGGTAATCTTGCAGGAAGGGAGAAGATTTCAAATCTGGCAGATTCTAGGTTGGAYAGACTTAGGATATAGTTTCAGATTCCTAACAGGCTCCCTGTAGACCAGGAACTTGTCATTGCGAAAAATAGATGGTAGTCCAAAGAGACTCTGCACTCCCTAACAAACAAGCAGGAAAGATCCATATGTAGTTGTTGTCTGGCATCTCATCACCGCCTCAATGTTCAATTATTTGTGCTTCACATCATATTCACACAGGGAATCTGAAGTTAGTCCTTGTGTTCTCTAAGCTATTTACTTGTCTCAGGTTCTGCATGCTCAATCAATGACTATTAACAAAAGCATAAATTGAAACTATCATTCAAATATAGATCAGATATTGCAACACAGCCAGTACAAATACTACTCCTGCTGGTCTTGTCTCCTCTTGGAACCCTGAGTAGGAATCAAGTTGATTTAATGATGTTCATTTCTATGTTGCTACAGTATAGACATTAATTTGTCTCTTGACTTTTTTCCCCCTCTATGTTAACTACAGAGAAGGTTTTATTTAAGAGATAGTGGAAAGAAAGGATTGTTATTTCAAAATACTTCACCATAAAGAATCAATCATTTTAGATGAAATTCCTTAAGTGCAGCTATCCAAACATGTGTTTCCTTCTTGGCAATAAAAGAGCCCCAGTCAATGCCCGATGACCTATAAATCATAGCTAGGAGATTTCTTTATGCAAATTAAATTTGTGTCACACTCATCAATAAAAAAAGAAAATTATAATGAAGATTAAATTTGGAGCAGCAGTACAAAATAAAGGATTCCTATACGTACTTATTGGAATATGTCAGAGTGGCTAATTAATTTTTGAGATAGTGTTCTTTGAAAGGATTAATGGAGAGTAAGCTTTGTGAATTGATTATTAAATGAGAAGGATGGTTTAAGAGGGTTGGGAATGTAAAATAGGCAACCAGCTGGATTAACCTTACCCAGCTTTAAAGGAGTCTATATAATAACGTAAAAGACACTGATATTGATTTTGTGGTTACATTATCAAGTCCAAGAACTGTCATTGTTAGTTTATGATTCATTTGTTTCTCCTCAAGGCTGTTTTTCATTTTACATCTGAAATAATAAAGACTCAAATRTTCACTCATCTAATAAGGGCATCAGTTCCCCTTAAAAACTGAACAAAACATATATATAAAAAGAAAATGATATCACTTTATATTGATGGGAATGTACCGTTGCAAAATGAGTCAACTTTTCCATTGCTCAGCATGTGAACCCTGTGGGTACCAAGACAGGAAAGCAGATTGAAAAACATACCCGCTTCCTTAGATTGCAAGTAAGAGTGAGGTTCCTCGAGAAGGAGTTTGCAAAAGCAGTATAAAAGTCGAGGACTTTGAGCAAGGCTTCTCGCTTGATGATGTGCAGGTCACAGTACGTCAAGGCTCGGACGTTGGCACATGCATGAGCAAGGGTGGTTTCCTTCCAGAAGATGTCCCCAAACACATCACCTTTCCCTGGAAAACAGTATAAGGTACAAATTCAAATCTCTACCGCAGTTCCTATCATAGTCACTATTGACATTCCAGTTTCCCGTGTGATAATGGTCTTTTAACATAATTTAGAGCTGAGGGTACAATCCCACCTATGTATATATAACAATGTACGACACTTTCACAAAACAAGTAGAACAACATCACCCTGAATTGAGTTTCTGATGGGAACCTCGAGAGTCATGTATCATTGTTATCTAACAGAGAAGTAAAAAATTTCATTTTAACAAATAATTTCATTATCTTTTGCCACCTTAATTTTTCCTATTCTGAGCAGAAGCAACAAAGGTTACCTCTAAGGGTTACCCTTTCTTCCACTCCTTCTAGTTAAGATGACAATAAAATGTGGTATGTAAAGGCTTGTGTTACAGCCTTTATTAATCTGAAACTAATATTATTCAGTAACTAGGTATTGTGCTCCAAGCCAAATAAAACTTACCATGACCTAGACCCCAAAGGATGCCCTTCTACTTAGCCAAATCTTATACAGAGCTCCCCATACACAATTCCAAAGCTTAAGAAACTGATTTGGGATAAACATGGAGGAACAGATTTGTTACCATAAAATCTTTCATAAAGAATACAACACTATATTCAAATGTAGATGACTTTTTAAATTGCTAAAATCACACAAATCACCTATTTATTTCAGAGTAACATTTGGTGTTGGTCTAAACTAAAGCATTCACCATTCCAAAATTAAGAGGATATAGCTGTCCAAGCAAAGGGAAAGAGGAAAATTCAAATGTCCTTTTACGGTTTGAATAGGAGGTATCGCCCCAAAACTCCTATGTTAATGCAGGCATGTTGAGAGGTAAGATAATTAGATTATAAGAACTGTAACCTTATCAGTGCATGAACCCATTTGATGGATTAAGAATTTGAAGCACTACCGTTCTGGATGGTAACTGTAGTCAGATAGAGTGTGGCTACTTGAAGTAAGTCTCTTGGAGGTATGTCCTTGGGGATTATCTCCTGTCCCCCTTGTTCCTTCCTCACTCTCTCTGATCCTGGCCAGCACTGGAGAGTCACTTCCCCTGTCATGCCCTTCTGCCATGATGCTCTGCCCCACCCCAGGCCAGAGCAATGGAGGCAGCCAATCACCGACTAAACCTCTGAAACCGTGAGCCAAAATAAACTTTTCCTCTTGTTCTTGTCAGGTATTTTGATCACCAGGAATGAAAAGCAGGCTGACAGAGGTCCCCAAATGCCCCATCTGCTAAGGGAGTTCCCCAAGAGTTCCTGTTTCCCGAAGTGTAGCCCATGACATTCTTTGTTTGATTTCTGTGGGGAAGTTTTAAAGTGGAAAAGACAGGAGGAATAAACCCAAGTGGAAAAAAAAAATCTTCCTAGAGACACTCTGTTGATTGTTTTCTCTCTGTGCTCCAGTCATGGAGATGAGCAAATATTTGTTATCATCAAGCCAATTAAAATCAGAAATAATGGGGGGGGAGGGGGAGAAAGATAAAATCCTTCAGAACAATCACACCAACGGAGAGGGAAGATAGTATAACCAGAGAAATGAGAGAGAAAAATGAGAGAGACAGGGAGGTTGAGTGAAAGATGTCCCACATGGGCAGCTAGGAGGCAGAAAACCCTGGGTCTTGGGGCTCAACAGTAAGAGGTACTCAAGGGTAGAAGGAGGAAACACACGTACTATCAAGATGGTTAAAACTACCAGGTGATCATGTCATGAGCATAAAATAACCCAGCATAGGTGTTTATTTAATGTTGAGCAATTCATTTCTTTCAGGACCCACCAAAGATTCCTTATAGTTAGTAACCCTGATGAAGGACACAATGAATTAAAACCCACACATTTGTCCAAGGAGCATTAGAGATCTAGTATTCAATTCTAGTTCTCTAGAACTATACAGCATCAAGGTAACCTAAGGGAGACTTTACTATAGAAATTTAAAAGACAGACCCCACATCCTCTAACAAGGATGAATTTCAGAAATCTGTACATGGCATTCTCTTTGAAATAGAAACTCCAATTATAGGTATTTGTTCTAATTGCATAATCAGAAATGCCAAATTTACTTACAAATATGTTCAGTGAAGTGACATTTAGTATAGTTCAATAAAACGAAGTAAGATAAAGGTCAAAGAATAAAGAAAATATGAAATATCATATTATCAAATAAAATAGCATCAATTTTAAGAAGTGATGGGGAGAAGGCTCACTTTATGTAAAATAGTATCACACAATACATACAGTATAATATCATTTTATGTATCTTCCCCCAAAACACATATATACACACAGAGCATGGGATTCATTACAATGGCAAAATCTCTGTGTATTATGGGACAATGGGTAGGTCTGTCTTACAATCTGCATATATTATTTTGCAAAGATTAATAACTATTATATTATCATAGTACCTAATGCTACCCAAAAAAATAATTTTTGAAAATATTGATTTGATTTACTTGTCTTTTCCATCTAATATCATTGTTACTCTTTCTAAACTATGCTTTTTTTTTAACCTTTTTCTTTTTCCTACAAGGGGTGGAAAAAGAAACATTTCTTTATAATCCATTTCTATTACCCTTTCTCAAATCACCAATTCTAATACAATCTCTGGTCCATGTATAATTGCTCATTATTTTTCAGCTATTTGATTCTCACGTATGGAACACTTTAATTATAATCAAAGCCTTTGACTCAGTAATTTTATTTCTGGAAATCAATCAAAAAAGTAGAACCAATATATGTAACATTCATGGTAATGTTAGTAATCGTAACCCTAGGTTGGAAAAAAAAGAAAAAGAAACTATAGGTCCCAAAACAATGAAAATTGCAAAAAAAAAAATATGTAAAGTATCAATACAAAATTAAAACATGTTTTAAAATAGCATGCTTATGTTATAATGTCAAATAAAAAATGATACAAAGGATTATATGATTATCGTGAAAGCTATAATGAAACTAAAGTACTAAGACTAAAAGAATTGTCAATTAAGAAATACACTTTTTCTTTTTTTCTTAAGAATTTTGATAGATACAAAGTATATTTTGTTAGAATTATGTTGTTATATATAGTATGTTAGTACTAATTTGTCAATTGACAATAAATTGAAAGAAAAACCAAAAGAAATATGACTAAAAGAAAATATATTTAAATAATAATAGCAACTGACTTCAAGTGATAAGTTTATTGATTTCCTTCTTTGTACTCCTAATATTTTCCAAAATTTTCTATAATGAATCTGCATAAACTTTATTTTAAAATAGCAAATATTTTTCTTTACATATTTTAGTAACACTGAATTAATAAAATATTTGCATAGATAAGCAGAATAGCAAACAAATATTCATTGGTTTTTAAAAGTGAATCATTAACAGGTTAAAGAAACTCAATGTATAAACGTAACTTCCCCTTACCAATATAGACCGTTTTAATTGTACAGGCAATCAATATATCCTTATGTATTTTACCTGATAAAATTAAAATTCTTACCCCATATCTAACAAAATTTTGAAATTTAAATTATGTATCTTTTTGGTATCATGAGGAAATAAATCCATGCTATGGAAAAAACAATAACAAACTAGAACATTAGCTCATGATAAACTTTATTCCTGGCTTCTCTTCCAAAAACTTTATAGAAGCATAGCGAAATTAACAGATATGAATACTTCTAATCCTAACATCTGATTTAACTTTTCAAAATAAGCAATATTAATTTTTCTGGCACAAACTTTCCATTAGGGTATGCAATATATAAATTAGATATTAATCTGATCAGTCATTTCAAAATAGGTTTCTTCTATCCAACTTTCTGAGTCACCTAATAGGTTCTCAATTCACAAGAACTTTTATAACACTGCTGGGGAGATAGATGACTTGTAAGTCAATTAATTAGTTTAACGGTGCAGCAAAGGGGGCTAATGTCCTTCAAGGCATGTTACCATTGTAAAGATGTGGGATTATGCATGATGGAATTTTGAATAGAGAAGCACCCTTTTCTTCACTGCAAAGATTTTGCATACTTTCAGAACTAGGAACTCCTTTCATTTTCATGACTATAGAATATTTGATGTTGCTTTTTAGGTCAGCTCCTGATGGGTGCAAGTAGTCTCAGCTATAAACATTTTAGAGCTTGAGCGAACTAACCTCCCTCAAAGGCCTAAAATAGTAGAAAATCTCACACTCAACATGAAAGTTGTTGTTTGGTCTATTTATATTTTCTCGCTTCTTTGCATCAAGTCTTATGAAGTATTTCACTGCTAAACCACAGGAAATGGGACTGTAAAAGAGAAGTTAATGTTAAAGATTCATATAGTAGGAAAATGGAAATTTAAAGACATACCAGAGACAGAGTTACAGCATAATTTAAGGTATAATGCAGATTATGGTATGTTTGGGGATTATGGTCCCCTATAGTGTTGACTTTATGCCAGCATTTGTTGTTTTCTAATGTGAGACATGTTATTTTGTGAGTTAATGACATGGATAAAAATAAATATTTAAAAATCAGTTATTTTTTCATCAGTGAGAATAGCTAACTAACGTACCCAACAGGTCCCTAACAAAAAAATATCAYTTGAACTCTATTTAGAGGATTCCTGTGTTTATGTGGGTATAATAATAGCTATATTTGATGATTCTTCTGCACTGTGGACTTAATCGATGTACTGTATATATTTGAGATTTATAAAATGATGCTATGAGGTACATACTGATAGTAAAATGGTTACTATAGTGAAGCAATTAATATAACTATCATCTCACATAGTTACTGTGTATGTGTCTGTGTGTGTGCATGCCAAGAGCAGTTAAAGCCTAGTTATTTAACAAATATCTCTAATACAATCCAATTTTATCAATTATAATTTTCATACTGTACATCAGATTATTTAGACTTCTTCATTGTATATATGTGCTATTTTCTATTTGCTGACCTACATCTCCCATTTCCTTCCACTCTGGTAACCATCATTTTATCTTATATCT